TTCTTACGCTCACGTTCTGATTCAATCTTTAGTTCGGTTCAGTTCAAAAGTCCATTCACTGTTGACTTTAGTTTTTCTTGGTTTGGTTGGTCTATCGCCGTCAATCCACTGTTGACTACTGTTTTTATCGTTGTTGCTATCAACGGAAGCTCCCCTTTCGACGGACTGTCAATTGAGGGAAAGGTATTATGTGCTTGGTTGGTAAGGTGTTTTCGTTGAATTTGGTAGGTCGCTTAGGACAGTAAGTAGCTGAACTACCACGCCTGATAAGCTAAAAGTAGGTAGGTTAATGTGATATCTAGTAGTCTTTGGTTGTTGCTTTGTCTTTATTAGTTCAGGTTGGCTCAGATTGTGAGCTGATTATGCTATCTACTTTTGCTCCTTGGGGGTCAAACCTGCACTTGATTCCTTGTAGATCAGGGCATTCAGTGGGATTCCCTTGCCTTCAGGGGGCCTCAGTACCACTGGGTTCTGGGATTGAATTACATTTCTACTAGCAAAATTGAACTAGAGAAAAATCCGAGAAAGGTAAAAATTAACGAGCAGCAAGACCCAGATGATTACAACTGTCGCTCTGCAGCAATCACCAATACTCTTTACAGCGAAACATTCTCTAACCAACAGCGAGCAGAATTCTGGCTCAAGGACATTTCCAACCATTAGACACCTGCTCGTGCTCCATGTTTGCACTGAAATTGCAAAAATTGGAAATCTTACTGTCATGAAGTTGGCACGCCAACAAGGATTCCATGGAATGAGAACATGTGCTGGAGCTGCTAAAAATGGTCATTTGAAATGCTCCAATGGTTAAGAAAGAATGGTTGTCCATGGAATAAATATACATGTGCCAATGCTGCTTCAAATGGACTTTTGGACATTTCAAAGTGGGCTCATGAAAACGGTTGTCCATGGGACGAAGGGACATGTGAAGGTGCTGCTGGAGGTGGTCATTTGGAAATCTAAAGTGGGCTCGTGAAATGGTTGTCCATGGGATGAATCCACGTGTGCCTGCGCTGCTCTAAGAGGCTATTTGGAAATTCTAAAGTGGGCTCTGAAATGGTGTCCATGGATGCAGATACATGTGCCTGTGCCGCTGAAGGTGCCATTTGGGAATTCTAAAGTGGGCCCGTGGAAATGGATGTCCATGGGATGGACAAACATGTTTCGGTGCTGCTGTAGGTGGCCATTTTGAAATTCTGCAGTGGGCTCGTGAAAATGGTTGTCCATGGATTGCATCAACATGTGCTGGAGCTACTGAAAGTATTCATTTTGAAATTCTGCAGTGGGCTCGTGAAAATGGTTGTCCATGGAGTGCATCAACATGTGCTGAGCTGCTGAAAGTATTCATTTTGAGATGCTGCAGTGGGCTCGTGAAAATGGTTGTCCATGGAGTGCATGTACATGTGCCAGAGCTGCTCGAAATGGTCGAATGGAATCTAAAGTGGGCTCATGAAAATGGCTTCCATGGAACGTTGGACATGTGCTTGTGCTGCTGAAAGTGGACACTTGGAAGCTCTCCAATGGTAGCATGAAAATGGTTGTCGATGGATGAAAACATGCTATGCTGCTCTAAATGGGAATTTGGAACTTTTAAAGTGGGCTCGTGAAAACGGTTGTCCATGGCATGCATCAACATGTGCTTGTGCTGCTCGAAATGGCCATTTGGAAGCCTTGAAGTGGTTACATGAAAATGGTTGTCCATGGAATGAAGAGACATATCAAACTGCTGCTGACTATGGCCACTTAGAAGTGATCCATGCTCAAGCGCTGCTCTAAATGGCCATTTGGAACTTTTAAGGTGGGCCCGTGAAAATGGTTGTCCATGGAATGCAGAGACGTGTACCGCTGCTGCTGAAATGGGCTGTTTGGAAGTTTTAAAGTGGGCTTGTGCAAACGGCTGTCCGTGGAATGAAAGAACATGCGCATTTGCTGCTGGAGGTGACCATTTGGAAGTTTTAAAGTGGGCACGTGCGAACGGCTGTCCGTGGAGCGCACAGACATATCGCAATGCTAATGAATTTGAAGTGAGACAGTGGCTTCGCGACAATGTCTGCCCAGGATCTCGCCAAATCATTCGTTATCGTCGCGTTGTGCAGAGATAATCATAAATCATTCCTATACTGTACAGTCATGATAACTCACGCCCTTAGGCTCCCTTCGTTGTCTTGGAGGACTGATGCATCCTTTCAAGAGAGCAGGCCCAGTTAGTTGGAGGCGAGCCGGTTTCCTTCGGGCATGAGCTACCGTCGGAGCGACAGCGATGGTTCTTGGCACTTGACAGAGGAATCGAATCGAATCAGCCCTTGTTGGTGGCCAGTCTGACTTTCCCATAATACCAGGTACCGGTACGGTTCACTTCATGCTCCAATGCATGCAACTTGAAGGATTGCTCGGAAAGACATAAGGAAAATCCGATAATGATTGAATCAATCATCCTTTGACCGAATTAAGGTACCGGTACCAGCTACGGACAAGGGAAGTGATCTTCGATAATTCACTCTGTTCTGTGCCGCTAGCTTGCTCCTGATCTTGCTGTGATATTCATATTCTAACGATTGATGAGCCCGTGTCATCCAAAATGCGACATCAAAGTTGCTACACGATAGCCAGACGGAAACTTTTTTAGATGCCGAGTCCAGCTCGACATGCAACCGACGAGTTCAATGACTGATAGAGAACCAATGTGTTGGACTAAAGCGGAACACTTTGCGTGGGCAACGCTCTCGGTTTTGCTTATCCAGCATTACTACTATAGCGACTGTACAAATGACACGAGAGCATCGGTGGCAGCTTGATGCGACTTGAGAATGTTCGCTCCATCTTTTCGGTCGGCCGCCGCGTCAATGGCAAATACTTGCAACTTGACCTGCTTGGCCAACGTAGCGGATCGTCCTGCATCTTGCGTCGAGAGTGGAGCCAGTGTATTCATGGTGGTCAGTAGCTCTCCCATTTGACCCGAGATGATGCTCTTGACGCCCGACCACTTTTTGGCTTCGACCAATTCTGGAATTTTGGTCAAGGAGACGGACGACAAGTCAATTTTTTGCAACAATTTTTGGGAATCGACACCTTGATAGAGTTTGTTATCAGGGTCCATGTAGACAAGACATTCTCGATTTCCCAAGCTTTCTACGAGACACTGCTTGTTGTTTCGATTCGCCATGTTTTCGGCCATGTTGGGCAATTCAATCTTGGCATCGGCTCCATAGACGGCATGAGACGGCTCGGGCGATGAAAAGAGCGTGGCAGCCGTAGAAGTAGTCGCCCACAGAGTCCCCAACATGGCAAAGGCAGCTTCTCGGCGGTCCATTTGCTTATTGTCGTTGTCTTCATCGTCTTCTTCGTCATCATCTGGACAAGGTCCACATTTGGATCGAGGTTTCCTATCGGAGCGCACCCAATCCGTAGGAGAAAAGGTGGATGTCGATACGCCCACGACACCGTCCGTCTTGGACTCGGAGGCAACTGAGAGTTCCGTGGCTGTGGACAAAGATCTGGATGCAGCATTTGCAGTGCTTGAAGACGAGGTGAAGGCTGCAGCACTTTCCAACAGGGATACTCCCAGGAAAGCCACAAGGAAGGCTCCCAAACTGCCCGCGAATATCTTCAACATGGTTACGATCAGGAGGTAGCTGTAGCTGTGGTCCCACTATGAAGGTAGTTGTCTGCTTCTACAATACTCGAACCAAGGATGCAAGCTGCAAGCATCCAACAGCTGTGACGTTGGACGTTGGAGATTGAAGGGCAGGGTTCGTTGGTGGATATCCTATTAGAGTTGGAGATTTGGATATCAGGATGTGGGACCGAACCTTTTGGGTCGTGGTCGGTGGAAGGAGGGAGCACCACCGCACCACCAGCGCCAGGAAAGTGTGGCAAAAGCTGAATTTGGCGAGGGAGGAGGGGAATTCAACACTTTGTAACTGTTGAAACCAGCAAAAGTGTTGAATTTTGATTCAACAACTGTTGAAAAAACTGTTGAATCTGATTCAACACTTGTTGAATTACTGTTGAATAAAGTGTTGAGATATGCACCATTATGACTAGCAATCTGTTGAATTACTGTTGAACAAAGTGTTGAATAGATTCAACACTGTGTTGAATAATATTCAACACTTTTTTCAACACTTTTGAAATTCAACACTGTTGAAAAGTGGAATCCGGCTGGAAATTCAACAGTTTTCATCGCCAATTCAACTTTTGCCACACTTTCCAGTACCGTACCACACAGTAGCGGTCTCAAAACCAATCAGTTGTCCAGCTCAGGTCCTCCCAGGCGAGATAAACAGTCGAGGAGCTAAAATGTAGGCACTGAAGAGTACACTTGTGTATGGGGCTGCTGTCCCGATAACTTTCTTCCATCCAAATGGTCACGTCTGCCTCCTGCCAGCACACATTGGTTCTGACAAATAGGAGGCAGGCGTCCAATGATACAAATAGGAGGCAGGTAGCCACCAGCCAGTGCTATATCATTCCAATGTTGATACTGCAGTACGCGCGACCACGGGTTGAGTCGAGCTACTATTGGTGACCAAAACAACTGCTCAGCCACCCAAAAGAAGTGCTTGACACTGTTCATTGAATACGGTGACTACAGGCTTCTGCATCGTGAACTAGTGTGATCTCGTTTGGATTGCTTCGAGTCTGATCCGAGAGAGACAAAGTGAGCTGCAAGCAAACAACAAGCCGTGCAATCACTGTTCCGCCCAGCAAGCGATCGGTTCACGCATCCAGTACATCCTGTCGCTTCCTCTTCAGAGCTACTGGAGTACAGTAACAGCTTCCAGCCAAAGTCTACAGACTCTTGACTCTATTAATAACTGGATCTTTATAGGTACAAAGGGGCTGGTAGACTTCACGGCTTCACGGTCAAAGGAGCTACCGGTAAGCAGTACAGTACAGATTGGGCGATTGGGCCACACCGGCCACACTAGGTACGACTGTACCGGTAGATGAAGAAGATGCTTCAAGGTTACCTCAGTCGCGATAGGCTTTGAAAAATTTAATGTGACTCATGTTGGAGTTCTAGCGCTGCTGGACGAGCTCTCAATTGGAACAATCAACATCCCAATCACCAGCAAAAAAGAGCTGCAACAAAGAGCTGCCAAAGACAGAAAATTGCTTGGGCCAGATTGCTGAGATGGGCAAGATTTACACTCGATTTTAGAAAGATCGAAGTTCGAATGGATTCTTGCTGTTCTTTATTGCTGGAACGCTTGCTTACGTGTTGAGGTACGTCTAAAGACGGTCCAAATGATTATCCATTGTTTGGTTGATGTACTGTTCATCTTCATAGTTAATGACCTCACGTGTGATGACATTCAGGGTGTTCTGCCAAATGTTCCAACTAGTTTACTAGGTAGTAGTACAGATTTACTAGGTTTGACCATCCAAACGAAGCAATCGTACCAGCCACGGTTACAACAAGACACTTGGGAGCTCTTGGGGTTACCCAGCGTGCTTCAAGGAAGTTCTAAAGCGAGTCGAGGACTCGTGCTCGAATAATAAAATTTTGCTTCCAAGGTGAGTCTGGTACGAATTGCACTGTAAGTTTATTATTTCAGCTGATGTGTGATCGATAAGATCCTCGCCTGGACTGTCTAAATCTCTGGCTATCTTCAATTCTACCATTGTTAGTTCATCAAGACACTTGCATTTAGCTAAAACTTGTAACGATCGAACGGCATTAAACAATGGTTGAAGGTAGACTGAAGGTGGCGCATCGTGCTGACCGAAGGTTGAACCGTTGGACAATACACTTGCTACGCTAAATAAATAAATATTGAAATAATATTGTCCTATCTTGGACACAACCCGAAGTGGGTATGTCCAACTTACCCATTAGTTTTGTATGAATAGGCCGAATGGTAGCTTTGTGAGTACAAGAGTCCTTTACAAGCATCTTAGAAACCCAAGAGAGACATTCTGTTCATGAATGTTCGCTGGCGGAGTTTTGCGGTTCAAACTGCTTATCTACTTGTACTTACGTTCCGGCAGAGAGCCTTACCTACTTACTGTGGCGTTGCCTCCATCAGCGCTGCTGAAGTGTTGCCTTTTTTTAGCCTTGGTCTCCCAATTGGAAGTCTCATAAATTCAACAACTATAGTGATACCTTGCCACTTCCTTGTCAACCAACAACAGCTAATAGCCAACCCCAAGATGTGCGACCCCAACACCATTCTCGAGCTCAACACCCGTGGTATCACGATGTTTCGTGACGGCAAGCGTCAAGAAGCAATGGACAACTTCCAGGCGTCCATGGCCAACTTGTTGACGTACATTACCAAGCAACACAAGAAGCAATTGACCGAGTCACAAGGCGCTGTCATCGCGAGTACTGGCAGTCCCAGCAACGACAAGGATAGCAGCGACGTCGACAGCAGAAGCAGCCTGGAATCCAGCAAGCGATCCAGAGACAACGAGAAGGAAGAAGAGACTGATGAAGTGGGTGATCTGATGCCTCCGCTCAAGAAGCAGCGTCAAAAGAGTGCTGCGCCTGCCGAAAGGGATACTGCTGCTACTACCACCAGTAGTACTGTCCCACAAGCCCCCTCCTTGCCTCCGTCATCATCCACTGATCCCTCGTCCCTCCTACAACTTCCCAGACAAACCCAATCGTCTACTAGTAGTCAGTCTCCTGCTCCACATGCCCTCGCCATTCCCTTTGAAACTCCAACCTCTGATACCTACCCAGAACACGTGGCTACCCTCTTCAATCAAGTCCTCGTCTTTCCCCACGAACAGCAAGATGACCAATCATCATCGTCTGCTAACAGCACCTTGCCTCGGGAACACTACGATATCTTTTACGCCAGTCTCCTCTACAATATGGGCTTGGTCTTGCACAACTACGGACTGCAATACTCGTGTGGCCAGTCCCTTCGCAAGGCATTGGAAACCTACGAAGTGGCACATGGAGTGCTCCTTCATGACCTCCAACGACAAACCAACACAAGCAGCAGTAACAATAGCTGTTGGGATGTCCACCATTGGCTCTTGTATGCGCTCTTCAACAACATGGCCAATATCTATGCCTTTGCCAATTCGCCCATTATGACCCAGTACTGCCTGGAACGCCTTCGATGGGTGCTCGCGCATTCCGATAGCAATCTCTTGCAACCACAGGATTTGCTCTTTTTGGTGGTCAATCTCGACGTCTTGGGGGCGGATGGTCCGGGCATTATCGCGGCCGCATCTGCATAACTTAAAGTACCAACCAAAGTCTACTACTACTACTATAGTTCATAACCTCTACTTCCAATCATAACGAATACTTCTTGATACGAACACTTTCGCCTTTTGACTCCAAAAGCAATGCAGCTCTCCGATCTAGCTAGCTAGCTAGCTAGCCAAGTATACCAAAGTGCTGCTCGCGCTTCGGGGGACCAACAACTCGCTGCAAACAGTCCACGCCACACTCCTCATACCGTACAGGCAGGGGGGGGTAAGGAATACACTGTGGACACAGTTTTAAAAGGACAAACCTGGAGTTGGGCCTGGATTGGGTTCGGCTGCGGGTCGCTCCTCGAGAGCCGTAGGTCCGTCCAGGACATGTGTTGGTCCTGGAAGTCCCCCGATGACATCACTTTCGCCACTGGAAAGCCAAGTCGCGCTATTCGCGGTTTCTAAGTCGCAATTTAAAATCGCGACTTGAAGCCTTAAATCGCGACTTGAAGCACGACTTTCGCGACTAGCCCGACTTGGTGCGACTTTACTTGCTTTTTACTAGTAAAAAATCGCGACTTGGAACGACTTTAAACGCGACTTGCGCGACTTGATGCGACTTTAAGCGACTTGGAACGACTTAAATCGCGACTTGCACGACTTGCGCGACTTTAACGGCTTTTGCGACTTCCACGATCGCCAATCGGGGGACTTCCTGGAGATGTACGAAATGGGGGTGAGTATGGAGGGAGGCACTTGCAACGCCGCCGTCATGGAAGAAGCAGTCAACACAGCGAGGAAAAGTTTGAGTTCGCGGCCAGCCAGTCTCGTGAAGCTGAGGCAGGGTCCTTGCGTCACCAGCCATTCAAGAAGACACCAAAACGTCTCCCTTCAACCCACTGGACCTCTGTGGAAACTCGAGTCGTGCTACTTTTCGTCTCCTAAATCCTTTTGATCGTCTCCTATTTAATGGATTTCGTCTCCTAAAAATAGGAGACGAAACGGATCGTCCCCTAAATCTTTTGTCTCCTCTTAAAACGTCTCCTATTTTCAACGGATCGTCTCCTATTCTCAACGGATCGTCTCCTAAGTGTACCATGTAAACTGTATGGTATCGTCTCCTAAATCTTTTGGATCATCTCCTATTTCGAAATTTTCGTCTCCTAATTGGAATGTCTCCTACTGAATCGTCTCCTAAATATAGGAGACGATTGCTTTCGTCTCCTAAATCATTTCGATCGTCTCCTATTCCTCGGTGTATCGTCTCTTAAGTATTTTGCCACGAATGACGTTTCCACAGAGGTCCTGAGCCAACAATGTATTGTTGGCTGGTGCTGGTGGAATGGGGGCTGCAACTACCACGCCCAATGTCATGCCTCTCTGGTCTCCGATTATCGCATCTGTTCTTGCTCCTCTGGGGCAGATCAACAAGGATGTACAAACTGGCTTTCTAGATCCCGTCCAGCCAAGTGATGCAAGAGATACCGTACTTCCTGAGGTTGGATACACACACTAGCGACGCTTTACTCAAGGAGTCAATGCAAAGTATGGTGGCGAGCAGATTTGTTTGTAGCTGGCAACTTCGGAAACGACAAATCTCCAGCGTCAGAAAGCGAAATGCGGTGGTACGGTATGCCGAAGGCAACTGCCACTTTCCCAACGGCGCCACGGCGTTTTGTTTTTGGGACGGTCAAGTTGAGGGAGCTGATGTTGTTACTGTAGTGTCTTGCATTGCGCCTACACCTGCCAGGAAGCGCCTTGTGTCAGGGCCTATCCTAGCTAGCTACCGTCGTGATTGAAGCACTGGCTACATGTAGTACAGGATGACTTCTTTTACCGCTGACAGGTGTAAAATGTGAGCATTTTTTACGGTTATTTTTCGGTTTTCGGAAATGGGAACCCAGAAGTGGTCATTTCGCGAATCGTGCTTGATTTGCCGCCAAACAGCAGAGCACCAAAGAATAACAAAGAACAAAGAAAAAATCAATTTTACCACCATGGCAACAGTGTTGGCCAAATGGTCTCTAGCTTAACCAATATATTGTTCTGGCCTATCCGGTCAGAGGACTAGCTCCCCAACACACTCACAGGCACTCTCCTTGCGCGGGATAGGCCATCTCCAACCTTTGCCATGGAGCTCAGCAGAGAATTCCTGGCTGGATTTGTGCTTGATCTCCTTTATGCCGACGATGACGACAAAGTGTCTCCCTTCAAGGACTGTTGGTTGACCCTTGATGCCCTCCAAGAAGTCATCTGTAAGAGATATGATGTACAGTCAGAAGATGTGGCCATAGGAGAATTTCAAAATCAGCAAACCTTTTCAATTCTCACAGGATGCCACATCCAAAGGATACAAATTCAATGGCATCAGAGTGAAGAAAAAGAGGAGAAGGTTGATATTCCTCTCTAGATCCAAGAAAGCACCTGCTCTTCCAGACATCAAAGATGATGAGAATTGGCAGCACATACTCTGCAACTCCCATGAAATTGAGGTTGGCACTCACTCTGGCTTCAAGGCAATGAAATCCTTTGTTGTTGCATTAACCGTAGCCGCTTGTTGTTGTTGTCGGTCGCTCCGTGGAAGAGGAGGCGGCATGGTCGCTCCGTGAAGAGGAGGTGTCATGGCTGCTCCGTGGAAGAAGAAGTCATCAGTCACCGAACACCGAATCCGTCGGCCGATTGATCGAACGGTCGATACGACGATCGGCCGCTACTGCCGCTAGGCAAACAAGAGGATCCTGTCATGGTGGTGAGTAGTAGCCTTTGTTAAAAGAGGAGTAACCGCTATAGAGGAGTAGCATCATCTTGATAGAGTAAAGATAGAGGTATCGAACGAAATAATGAAAGAAGATACGAGTGGCTTGGATCGATCGATCGAGTGATGTCAGTTGAGCTTAAGGTTAAGGCTATATAAGTCCCTTAAGTCTTTTCGCGGAACGTTCCAAGAGGTTCCGGTTCGCATTCGAGTGTCTTACCGGGATCGGGCTTGCGTTTGTCTCGATAGCTTAGATTCAGCCTGTACAGTCGTACCGGTATGTCCTTGTTGGGAATGGAGAAAATCAAATTGGAATTGGCCAGCCTTTACCAGCTTTGCTATTTTAAACTCTAGAATAGATTGACCATTCATGACGTCATGGTGATCCAACTGTAGATGACGTCAGCTTCATTTTTGTACGTATTTTGCAAAGCATGTTCCGAGATCGGAGGCAGTGGACCGGCACAGCACTCGATGAAGACTGACAAAAGACTCTGGCTGTCACTCGACGAAAACAGTCACAAGAGCTGTCACAAGTTCCAAATCAAAACCAACCACCTCGTGTGCTGTGTTGGAACTGAGCCATGGCGTCCTCCTCTTTCACCACCGCTTTCACCACCCAAGAAGGCGAATATCAGCCTACTGGTACTGGCACCAATCCTCGTCGATCCTTGCACCGGTATCAATCGGCAGCACTTCGACGGAACACCATCCGCCTGCCAAGCAGACATAGCATTACCAAGCTAAATCCAGATGGCGTTGTCGAAGAGGAAGAGGAAGAGGAAGAGGAAGTAGAAGCACCAGTAACACCCAGAGAAACCATTAATGAAGAGAATGACAGAGATTGGACGCCTGTCCAGGCCAACTTTCCCCTGGAGGAAGATGAAGCCTATCCCTTTTTGGATTCCATTACGGCCATGCGAGCCATCAAAGGCTATGTCCACGATGAAAATCTCATTCCCACCACGACGTACAGCTTTTTGGTTTCTACCTCATTAGGCAACATGACCAATATTGTCAATGCTTTGGTTTTAACACTTCAAGTGGCAAGTTATATCGCCGTCTCTGTCAGTGTGCTGGACTTTCGCAACGATGGTGAGTGTGTAAGAGTCTGGATCTTATACATACGGTGTATTGGTGTGGGCTTTGATCTTTGATTTTAAAAGATTAACATTGCTTCGTTGTGATGACAGATGAGTACAATCCATTCAAATTTCCACCCAATGTCACCTCATCGGTACGGGCCACTCAATTGTTGAGTCTGGTTTACTCGATACTAGTTCAGGAGAGCATTGTCAATGCCCTCTATACATTCCGCAATGGATTCGACGAAGAAGAACTCAGACGATCCTTTCCCGAATGTGCTACCCATGGACTGAAAGCACGGTGGTACATTTGCTTGTGTTTCATCCTTACCATGGGCTGCTACGCTCAGTTCTTGACTTTTGTCATGATAATGCAATCTGAAGATGTCCTTGGCGTGCTCTTGAATTACGCAGCAGTCAACTTCATTGCCACCATTGATGATCGCTTTTTCTACTTGGGTAAACGAGGATGGCTGGGAAAACAAGTGGAAAGAAACGTCCGTCTTATCGGCCTTGCCGACAATCCAAATCCTCCACCCATCTGGTATCGCCGCTTATTCCATTCACTCTTTATGCTTGTGTTGTTTGCAGGATTGATTGGAATGTGGGGATTGGTCGTCAGTTTGCAAACCACAGGTGCATATTTGCCCAACACCATTCGAGTGGAATTTGATGATCAAGTCCATCCTGCGCTGGGAACCTTCAGTGGCTATTACGATATTCAACACTCCGGGGAAGGAGGAATGTTCCGATCGGCGCATGCTATGTATTACGAACGGAGGTCACAGCAAGCACTGTTTAGTTATTGTCCCCAAATCGGGGCTTGGACGTTTCAATGGGGGGTCTCCGTGAACGAGTTTGACCCTTGCAACTGGCATGCCAGGAGTTCTGCTACGATCGAATTCGATATCACCACCACAGCAACTTCGAAGTGGTTTGCCAAGAACCCCGGTGGACGAACGGTGCCAATGCCGTTCATAGATATTCACGGATGGTCGTGCACCGAGGACGAGAAGCTATGCGGACTACATGGCACTTGTGAACAGGGAGCATGCCAATGCGAAGAAGGGTTTTTTGGTGATGAATGTGAATTTCCAAGACCTTGTAATACTTTGGAAGTGGATGGACGAATGGGGGATTTTCGAGGTATCGACCGCAAATGGTCGTAAGTATACTCATGCCTCGATCTCTCCTGGTAAAGAAGATTTTCCAAAGAATCCTCCGCATCCTGACTTCCTGTGTGTTTGTTTGTCCTCCTCCTTGTTGGAAAGAGAACAATTTGAACTCCTTCGCTTTGGAAACGAGACAGCGATCGTCTACGACCGCCCGGTCTACATCACTCAAACAGATTCTCTACGATTGAGTCAACCTCAACAGCAAGGTGAATTCGATATGATCTTTTTCACAGGGAGACGTTGGGCGCTTGCTTTCTCGCGTGCTTTTCAAGACCCGGAATTTGCAGAAGACTTGGAGTCCTATCTTGCCAGATTTCACGCTCACTTTTCCAACTTTAAAGCTGGCTTCTTGAGCGAACCGGTTGGCGACATCAAGTCCAACCCATCCCCAGAAGGGTTGGTATGGTATTCATCGGAACCTAGCAAACCCAGCACCGGTCCTGGGATTCAGGCCGCGGCACCCCAGCAGTCTCAGGGAGTGTTGCTTTGTACTGAGTGCAACAACAATACAAATCCATGTCTGTAAGTCCCTTGATGATTGCACCACGGGCAAAATAAACACTCTTGATTGTACGGCATCTTCCTCAATCTGTTCCTTCTGGGTACCTGATTGATAGTTATGATGGAATTTGTTTGGAGGGACACAGCAACACTTGTAACTGTTCACAAGGGTCTGCGGGTGGCCTTTGCGAGGTGCCACCAATTGGCAATGGCCGGTGCGATACTTTCTTCAATACAGTGGGCTTTGATCGGGATGGCGGCGACTGTTGCAGGGGGACTTGCATAAGTACTGCAGAAGCGATTTGTGGACGGGATCCCAGTGGATTCTTGGACACTGGCTTTTTCAACTGCCAAAGTGACGACCCAATTCCGTCTGAGACTGTTCGTGGTGAACCATTTGCAGAGGCTGGTCGACAATTCGCTCTCTCCGGCACGGGCAGCGTCATGGCAGCAGTGATGAACGATGGGGAACTGGGACTGTTCGACCAGGTTGGCGCTCAGTGGATCCAGCGTGAAATGCTCGGAACTTGTCTTGTTACCGCAATCACCATGGCTACCGGCCCTTTTTCGAGCAATCCAATATTTCAACCACCAGCTGTGATTGTTGTGTCTTGCAAAGGCATCACGAGCTTGCGAGCTTACTTTTGCACCGACGATGGTTGCTCCATCCACACCCTGGAAGGTCCACCTGAGGCTTACTCGGACTTGTTCGGGGATTCATTAGGGATAAGCACCAATGGAGACGTCATTGCTGTTTCTTCTCGTGGCGCCCCCTATCAAGGTGGTTTCGTCGAGATTTTCAGGGCTGGGCGGGACTCCAGAGGCTCCGTTGCTTGGGAGCGAAACAACGAGACGATAATACCAGAGAAATATCGATACGATGAAGAAGACAATTTTGCAGTCCCGGTAGTATTCACTCTGGGTCTATCCAATGCAAGCTTCCCTATGTCGGCGGCAGGACCAATCAATGGAAGTATTGACTCCACCCAGGCACCAAGTCTGGGCCCCGACAAGGAATTCATACTCAGCACCCTGCCTGTACCAAGCACCGCGCCTTCTTCCGAACCAACCGAACAGCCCAGCGCCAGCTTCGAACCCTCGGCTTTCCCGTCCAGCGAACCTAGTATCGAGCCATCTGCTTTTCCAACGGCTTCACCAAACCAGGTAAGGTGAAAGGGACTTCGGTTTTCTTCTTTCTTATTGTTGTGCTCACTCTGGTGCTTTGCTTTGCTTCGACACATCTCCGTTTTAAAGCTTATACTTGCTATGAGTCTATCAGGGAGTGGCGATACTCTAGCATTGGTATTAAGCGACGTTAGCGCGCTTCAAATTGTAACCGTGCTTGTATATCAATTCAATGGGACGGACTGGACGACTCGAGGGCACCCGATTGAAGATACTCTGTGCTCGGACAATCATCCACGAACAGATATGATAGAGCTCTCGGAAGATGGGTCAACTCTGCTTTATTCCACCGGTGACGAAGTCCATGTTGTGGACTGGAACGCCGAAGCAGACGAATGGGCTCGACGAGAAGCAGACGTGCTTCAGTCAGAGGTAGATCTACTTCGGGATCCAGAACGCAATTGTAGCATAGACAGTGTGACTCTCTCCCCAGAAGGTAACATTGTCGCCCTCAACATTCGAGTGCCGTCGGACGAAAACAACATTGCAACCTTCGCTTGGACAAATTCCACGTGGGAAAGGCGAGAGGAAATAATGGTGAGAGGGTCCCCAGAAGGCCCACTCGCGCTTTCACAGGGTGGCAGTGAGTTGGCAGTAGGGTTACCCCTTGTCGCTGCTGACCTTTCGGGTTCGATTCAAACGTACGAATACCCACCGCTTCCCTGCCAATCCGATGAAATTTATTTTCGACTGACTTTCACAATCAAGCCGGAAGTAACAAGGTGGACGCTTGAAACTGCGAGCCCTGACGGCGAGATCTTCAACTTTGGAGGCGGTCCATACTACTTCCCAAATTTCCCTGGTGCCAAGGAGGCTTCCGAAACGCACCATGACAAGGCTACCGTTATCGAAGACCTTTGTCTTCCTACTGTCGCCCTCGACTGCGGTATCCTGATGATCTATCCAACCGAGTTTGGTGGGTTTAGTGTCATCTCGTCGGACGGGGGACCGCCAATCAATGTGCCGCCCCGTGATATTCCAGCGGCTCTGACTTACGGGAACTGCACGAACCAGAGCCTTGTGCAACCCTACAGTAACGATTTATAGATTCTTATCAGCTACCATGACTTTGCTTGCAGAGCCTTGTGGAACCCAGGTGAACCGAATTGCTTTGAGAGGTGGATGGAGGACAGCCCCAAAGGCGGGGAGTGCCCTAGAGATTTTTGTTTGAGCGGGTTCCATGTAGCCGTCCGTCTCATGCCTAGCTTGCGTACCGGTACTTTTGAAACAAGTTAGCTAGTTGTTTTGATCCATGAATATCCTGACCACTAGGTGCGCTACGTAGAACAAACCCCTTCCATGTACGGTACCGCATCATGCTCAAATTGCGCAGTCTAGATCTACTTGTGTTGAATCGAATCCATGATGAATATCCTGACCACGTGGTGGCGCTGGGTCTCCTCCCACGCTAAACTGGTACCACGGTATACGGCGCGGTACGTAGCTCCGGTACAATTTATCCACGTCTCGTGCCGGCGCCAAATTTAATGGATTTAGGCAAAACCACCGTTGCTTTCGCCATTTTTTTGGTTTTTCGGCATTTATTTTTGAAGAGAGCAAGAGAAGTGACAATCGCATTCGCAACACATCGACTACTAGTAGTAGTATTGTCTCTGAAAGGTTGTGCTTTACTTTGAAACTTCGAGGCCACTTCCATCTCTCTTTATTTTTATTCTGTCATTCCAGAGCTGAAGGCTTGACACATCCTACGCCCCCACCGCAACCCTGCAATCTATTTTAATAGCAAAATGTCTGAACCTCCAGGTCACTCCGGGCTAGAACTTGACGTTGCCGTTGCCGTTGCCGTTCCCAAAGTCGAAGAGGCCTCGACGGATGAAGGGGGAGACGAACCAGCAAGGGAGGTTCTCGAGGAAGAAGAGCCGCAAGAGCCGCAAGAGCCCACATCGCTATTGCTGAGTGCTCCTGACCCCCCAACTGTAAGTGATGTGGATGACATATCGGTGGATGAGCCAGCCCAGCAGAGTGGTGAGTTTCCTTCATGGTTACCAGAAGATATGGTTTTCCTGAAGGGTTCTGCAGTTGGGCCGCACCCTGAGACCATAATATTGCCACTCGCAACAGCAACAGCGCAACAAGCTCCAGTCCGGGCCTCTGAGAACACGTTGGTGCCTACCCAAACAACGGCAGACACTCATAATAGTGGTGGCACAATTGTCGTCGGAGCATCAGGGGTTAACGTCGCCTCGACACTCTTGGCCAACGCCCATCCTGTGGATGCAGCTACAGCAAAAATTGTCAACGAATCATCTTGTTGGGACAGGTGCATGCCAGATACCAGTACTAATGGTGGAAAAACGCTGTGTTTTGCCATTGTTTTGGCTGTGCTTCTTGCAACATCTGGAGTGGCTGTCACCGCCATTCTGTGCAGCAATGGCAGCTGCACTACGGGTGGTGAACAAAGCACGGCATTGTCCATTCCTACTAGTCAGGAGGCAAGCGAAAGTAGTATCTCAGCAACAGCACTCCCACAAACAGGATCTGGAATCTCTTCTCTTTCTCCATTTGGGAACAATACAGAGACACCATCAGTTACACCAAACCTTAGACCTACGGAGGCGAGTGATCAGGCTCCTACAGCCACCCTTGATACAGCCCAGCCTCAGCCTGAGATGAACATGACACTGCCAACTAGTTTGCCACCAAGTGTTCAAGCTGGTATGCCAACAACTCTACCACCATCATTTGGTTCGCTACCCACCGCAGACGAATTGGATCCTGCTGCAGGAGATGTCAATAATATTACAGGGGACAATCTACTTGAGGTTTCCGGCACCACAACATTAATCCCCACTACACAAATTGGTGCTCCTGCAGCAGCTACCGCTCTCCAGCCAGTCAGCAATTCCTCTTCTCCACAAAATTCTATGCCGACCTCAGCAGTTAATGTTGTACCAACAAGCAACGTTTCATCTGCTCCACCGGCAGTCAACATTTCCTCTTCTCTAAGACCCTCCATAACAGTTATGCCAACAACGAGAGCCCCAGCGTTCTTATCCCCTTCAGCTCCAGGAACAACATCCAGTCCACCATCCACAAGACTGCCAACAACAGGAACTTCCACACCGAATCAGCCAACAACAAGACTGCCAACGACAAGAACTCCAACATCTCCCGAACCATCCACAAAACCTCCTTCCGCTACAAATACTCCTCCACCTACATCCAAACCTCCTACCACAAGACTACCCACAACCAGAGCTCCCACTTCACGTGCACCGACAACACGGCCTCCTTCTACTGCAATGCCTACAACCAATCCACCAACTACAGACCCCCCAACAAGAGCTCCAACTACACGGGATCCAACTTCTAGTCCAACAAGAATGCCTACTACTCCAGGTCCCACTCCGCTACCAACAAAACAGCCTACTCCAGATCCCACACCGCTACCAACACCTGTTCCAACAACCCCAGAACCCACCCCTGTTCCAACACCTCTCCCTACAACCCCAGATCCCACTCCTTTCCCAACAAGAAGACCTACTCTAGATCCCACACCTGATCCAACAAGAAGACCAACTCCAGATCCCACACCTGACCCGACAAGAAGACCTACTCCAGATCCCACACCTGATCCAACGAGGCGCCCAACACGTGATCCAACAAGGCGCCCAACAAGAAGGCCCACTCCGGAACCAACCAGGAGGCCTCGAACTCCGGAACCAACCACGAGGCCTCGAACTCCTGAACCAACCAGGAGGCCTCGAACTCCTGAACCTACCCCAAGATTTATCACGCAACCACCACAATCGATGCCTGGTATTGACAATCCCACACTTTTACCATTGCGGCGTAATCTTTTCTTGGCCGAGGAGGGTTTGCTTGATGATGATGACGATGATGTTGAGTAAGAGAGCTAGCTAGCTACAGTAGTAGTCAACTCCATGAGATAGGCAAAACAGAGGTGCAATTTTAAAAAAGCAACTTGGTGGAACAAAGACAGGTTCGGAGTGATTCAGGCGACTCAAGTCAAGTCGAGTCTGCACTCTGTGGATGATGGGAACCAAATAGTGACATTGAAAAAGTGAATATTGGTTGAATGTATGTTTTCCTTTACATGTAAAATACATTTTTGACATCATTAGTTGGCAGGATTTAGGACTTCGATGTCATACCACCGTTCTTTCCAAGAAAAGCTTACAAGGGACATCATCTCGAAGGACTTCAATAACGACCATCATGCAACTGCCAACCATGTACGGAGGGCAAGAACAGCGAATGTCTATGGCAATGTCTGCAGAAACAAGGTGGTACATACTGTATCAAATAATGCATAAACAGTACGTCGGCACGACCCAACATAACCTCAAACTTTGAATCAATGAACATTTTAGAGATGCCCTTCTAGACCTCATGGAGAACGACCAAGCATCAGACTCGACTCATTCACAAGACACTTTGCCGAGGTATTCAAAATGATGAAACCTGTAAACAAAAATGTCCCACAGAACAGGGCAAGGCAACCCCATCAGCACTGTCAAAACCTTCCGGACTCGACATTGCCAGCTCTGCAACATTAGACGTGAAATACCGTACTTGTACCGTACGATTTACACGTCTTTTGCAACACCGTTGCGCACAGCTGCTGTTCCCAACAGACGGTGAACAACGAGCCAAGAAACAAAGCTTGTTGGGGGTTCCTTGTGTCAAAAGAGCGAGCTGCATGGAACGGGCTATCCAAGCACTGGTAGCTGCCAGCAAGCTTGTAAGAGTGCTGCAAAGGAACCACACTATCTCTTGATTTGATTGATTTGATTCGATTCTTCAGCTCTTTCTGAAAATCTGCTCTGGAGCGGCCTCTCTTGACTTTATCGTGACTTCACCACTCTCTCCTTTCTACCGCTACCACACTCAAAAATCCTATCAATCGATAGCGCCTCCACACAATGTCAGCAACAACGAGAGCTGCGGCCAGCACTGATCCAGGTATAATAGCAACGAAAGACAACTGGTTCTCCCCCGATTTCGACGAAGAACAAGGGCAATCTTTGATCCAGGCCGTTCAGGAATCGATTGGTTGTTTCGAATGCGGCGAACCCAATGCCAAATTACGTTGCAGCCGCTGCAAGCTGGCCAAGTATTGTAGTCCAGCCTGTCAGCGAGCAGATTGGAAAAAGTCTCACAAACAACTCTGTAGCATGTATCTGGAGAACAAAGAGCCCAGAGGAAATACTCCTGGCGCTCCCATCCCGATCCTGCTACGAAATATCGGATTGATTGGGGAAGAGAATTTTGAAGTGTGTATTCAAAACCGACGAGCGCTCTTTCTGCAAGCCGCCTCCAGATCGAGCAAGAAACCATTGCCCATGTCGTTTTCGTGTGCCATTGTCCCCACGTTTCAGCAACTCAGATTGGTGATTGCGGCCAGTTTTCAAGACGACAAAGACAAGTTCCATGAAGTACCGCATCTTTTATTTGACGTCATAGAAGAGGAACCAGATGCTATACAGAAATTTGAACAACAACCCCACTGCATATCTGTACGGGCACTCCACAAAGTGGCAGAGGCATGGGTGGAATTCTACGTCCAACTGGAAGATGCCAATATCCATCCATTGGCCATTACGTGTGGGGCGGGACTGCACGATCGCATCGATGACTTGCAAGAAAAGCTGACAAAGAAAGGGGTATCGGGGTTGGGATTTGTTCCTTCCGAACAGTTGTTGATGGAATAGAGGCTGTCGCTACAATCATATGCAAAAAGAACAGAATGTGTCATTTCCTTCCTGTGGGACCAACTCTAGCTACGACATAGCTCTTGGATCTATGTGGCTGGCTGGTTGGTTACCTGCTTCACCACCATTTTTGCATCCTCTTGGTGCTCCTCTATTTTAAACTGGAGTTTGCCTGGTGAGAGCCATGTGCAAGGTGTTGGTCCAGAACCGGTGCAGCCAAGGAATTGATCCAGGTATTTGGGCCAGCTGTTGCTGCAAGCTGGCTAGTTGGAAAGGCATTGTCCACGATGGACATGGACGACTCCTGATGATGGACCAGACAGTCATTGATTCCGACGATCTCCACCGTCATATCACACGCCCATTCATTCAAAGTCCTTTTCATCATCTGATCTTCATCGCTACAGCGACAGCTAGCTAGAGCTAAACGTTTGAATTGAATCAATCCGATCAGCTTTGAGAAATGTTGCAATAGAGAAATGCTGAGCGTTGATCTCTTCCTAGCTACACCCTTTACCAAAATGATTGGACTACCCAAGCAGAAAAAAGACTGCATTCGTCACTTCACCGTTGGCATGGATGCACTGAATACTACTAGTAGTATACATATTGTAGTAGAGACGGATTCATTAATGCGTTGTCTTAAAAGTCATCTTGTTGGATAGCATCATAACTGGATTCATCCCTGTCCAGTACCAGCGCCGTCGCCACCATGCGGTCCTCTCCATTCAGAATGTTGAATGTGGCCATGGCTTCAGACTGTGATATAGCGAGCAACAGGGAGGAGATGCATAGAAAAGAAGTGAGTCTTCACTTACCAGGTAGTCAATCAATCAATCAATCAATCCATATATTCACTTGTTTGCTTTTTATCAGTTCAGTACGGCACTCACCAATGGCAACCACTCTACTACAATTCCATATTTTAGTTTCATTTGTTCTTGCAGTGTCGTTAGTTGCGTCCGCTCCATGGAATGGGCGGTTCCCAAGAATAGAAATTCAATTTTGGGTCGATGCAACGCCACCGGTGCCAACGTGGCGGTGGTGATATCAGCGGGGGTTTCGACGCGCCACAAAAAACACGAATTGGGAAATACGAGGATACTTCCCATCATGTGAATGGCTCCATGGGGGGCGACTTCATTGGGATCAATTTTTTTGAGTATATTGGAAACATCAAATCCCGACGGTGCCATGGCTTCTAGTACCACTTTGGGTTTTCCACCACCACCACCCGCCATGAGGGCTTCCCCGAGCATGTCGTGTCCTCGACCACTCCAGCTACTCGAAAAACGGTGATGCTGATGTCGTGATGGTGGTGATGATGATGATGATGTGTCGTGGGCCAGCAGAGACAAGGTTCTACTTCTCGCAGTGGCGAGCCTTTTCCAATGGACTATGGTTTGAGACAGTCTCATCTTGTTGGCAAGTTTGTGCATTCTCTTCAACTCTCTTATTATGGAGGGCTCGACTGCATGTCACTCAATGGCTCCTTCTTCGATCTCCCTTGCTTTCTTTGTTGCTCTGTTTTGCTCGTGGATGCAGATTGGATCTTTTTCGGGTTGTGTAAAAGTAAAACTAACGTTGCCGAAAACCTTAAATTAAAAATGGAAAATGATTAGGGTTTTGCTTCTTGGAGCAAAATGCCTGTCCTTCGCATCGCCAAAGCCAAGCGAACCCTCCATCGATGAGCACGAATGATCTCGCTCTTGTTGTTGCATCATTCATTCAATTGTTGTATGCATACCGTAGCTATGCACTATTGACACTCCACTTCTTCTTCTTGTTTGGGTCTACACTGTACTAGCTAGTAGTTGTTATCATATCTTCTGTATAGATTGCCATTAGCTAAAGCAGTCAATTGATCATGAACAACTCGAGCAACAACATCTCCTACGATTCGTCCCTACTGGACAGCATACTATCGTCTAACAATAACGATACCACTATTACTACATTCCCCACGGTTCCTCCTCTGACAACAGAAGACGACACGGGAGAAAAAGACATTGCGTCCATCTTGGCCATCCTATCGGTGGTCTTTTTGTGGTGTTTGGCCGTTTGTGTCAAGACGAAATGTTGTGGACGATGCAGCCGGGGCAACTCGTATGCCAGTCAAGTCTGGGAGGCCATGTCCCAAGAAGAACGAGATCGATTCCTGGCGGCCGCACGACAACCACAACACACTACGAGTAGTAGTATTGTCACAACGTCGGACGATCTGCAGTTGGCACGACGGGAATGGGAACAAAAAGCCGCCATGCGCAGTGAATTTGTCGATCATCATTTGCCAATCAACATCAATAACAATGATGATAGCGACAACGACAAAAATAACAATAACGACGGAATCAAGACGAGACTCTCCTACGATGACGAGGAAGAGGACAATGAGATTCACACGACGCCATCGAACAGTTGGACCTGTGCCATTTGTTTGACGGCCGAAGACGAAGGAACCGAACCAGATGCCTGTTCCAAAGATTGGCACAGGGTTCAGTCCACATCCCATCTGTGTCATCACAAATTCCATCGACACTGTATTGCCGGATGGCTCCTATGGAATACCGATTGTCCCATTTGTCGGAGGGTCTTTTTGCAACAAGATCAAAGGCACAGTCAACTACAACAAGACAGTGCTACAACAGCGACTACTTCGACGACCATTATTGGGATGAATGCAAGTAGTAGCAGTCATTCCTCCTCCTGTGAGTATGCACCACCCGTCGTCTCACGATTGACCGTGGGGGACAGCCGTGTACGAATTAGGGTCGTGCCATCTTCCTCCCTACAGCAACAGCAGCCGCCGCAGTATGTAGCGGCGGCAACCCAAGATCAAGTCAACGAGACACCGTCACCACAACGAGCAACACGACAACAACAACAACAACCTGCACCACCCATTATACCAACAACACCAGAACAACAATTAGAAGAGGGGCTTCATGGTGAGCTTTCGGGACAGCCAAAACAACAAGGCCAGAGTCCAGAACAACTTCAGCATGCATGAATTAGGGTGTGTTCAATCATTCTGCCTCATGGAGGCATGCAATCCAGCGCAAATGGCATGCCATGTATTGATTCGAACACTTACTTGTCATCGGACTGCCTTCTTGGCACATCCACTATAGGGCAATCCAGCTTTGGCATGGTGAGAGGCCTCTCGGGGCTAACCAATCATATCATACCGTAGATTGGACCATTCATTACTGATTGTCTGTCAGACTGACGAAGATCGTTGCAGCAATGGACAAAACAAAACCATCCCAATCCACTGCAGGACCCATCGATGCAACCGCTAAGAAGCGATCTACTACCGTAGCTAGTACGACTAGTACTGTATCAGGATTATTATGATAGATGGAAGGCAAGGAAGATCAATCAATGGAACGGGATTGACAGGGGACAAACGTCTGGGACATTGTCACACAACATTTCACTTGGGTTTGGTCGGCTACCGGTACGGTAATCCAACATTGTTGCAGCTGTTCTTCGAGGCGAACCGACGAGCAAGGCTGGCTGCAAGAGTCTTTGATTGCGTTTCATCTCTCTGCTACGTCGAACAACACGGGATACGTAGAAGGATTGGGATTTAGAGACAGGATTTTTTAATAAAACACGAAATAGGCAACGGATTAGGAGACTTTCAATTCAATGTCCGCTAACGATGCAGCATAATGTGGTCGAAGGCAAGCCACAAACCATCTATCCCCAACTGCTAGCTAGTCATACCAATGACGATACTCAGGGTAGCCATTGTCATGTAGCCACTGTAATACATCGTCTTGGTTTCCAAAATTTGCCTGTCTAGACGCGCCTATGTCGATTGGGCATCCATGTGCAAGTGCCCACTTCAAGACCACCAGGTGGCCATTTTCAGCCGCACTAGCGGTTGTCCTTGTATCCCACTCACAGCCATTTTCTCTCGCCCATTTCAAAGTTTCCAAGTGCCCATTTCGAGCAGCATGAGCACATATGATTTCATTCCATGGGCATCGGTTTTGTCTAGCCCACTTCAAAACCTCCAAATGGCCATGGTAAGCGGCACCACCACATGTTGTAACATCCCATAGACACCCATTTTCACGAGCCCACTTTAGAATTTCCAGATGACCACCGACCGCTGCTTCATGACATGTCATTGCATCCCATGGGCAGCCATTGTTTCTGGCCCATTTGAGGACATTTAGATGCCCACCTTTCGCAGCATGTGCACATGTCAATGCGTCCAATTGGTATCCCTTTTTCTTGAGCCATTTGATTGCCTCAAGGTGACCACCTAAAGCAGCATGAGCACATGTGCGCGCATTCGATGGGCAACCCTGTCGATGAAGATACCTGAGGACCGTCATATTTCCATTTTCTGCTGCGGCTGCAAACGTCGATGATCCCCATGGAAAGTTTGTGTTGCGGGCCCATTGAAGAATTCTAAGGTTCCCAAGCTTGGCAATTGCAGCACAGACAAGGAAGTTTTCGGGGTTTTTGCGGAGGCAATCATAATTGTCCCAGTACTCCGCACAGGATACATTATAGAAAGCATTACTGTAAAATGTATCTGTGCTTGTGGCTACGATAGCCTGCCACTTGCACGTGGACCCGAATTTCTTGGATCCCATCACCAATGGGGGATTTTCAACCTTTTTACAGTAACTCTTGTAGAGCTGATTCATTTGTTTGCTGATAGCTCCAACAAACGCATAGTGTCCCATCCCCAAAAATGGAAAGATACCGTTTGTCCAAACATCCTCGTGATCAAACAATAACGAGTCTACAGCAGGAGATGCCTTTTGCCTCTTTATAGCCCGACCAGCTGCGCTACTAGGAGCGATGACTGTAGACGACATGGTGTTGGGAAATGGTCGATTGGGATGAGCAATATGATTTTGCGTTGCCACCGTGTTTTGTGTATTCGCTAGCTACCGGTAGCTAGTAGCTAGCTACAGTAGAGCCCTGGAGCTGGAGCTGGAGCTTTCTTGACCGTGCTAGCGTGGGCTCTTGCTCGCTGCGTGTTGTCGGACAATTGATCTTCCGCCAAATTGTCAGAATCCCAGAATGCTGAAGAAAATCCCATGAAAATCTGCCAAATCTTGTTTTCTGCATAATTTCAAAAATGTTGAAAACCAAGTCTCCGGAAGACAGCTTTGGAATTCAGGTAGATGCGGGAATCCTATTTTCGTTCTAGCCCTTTATTTACCGCATGTACGGACTAAACATTGTCTTTCAGAATTCTCGCGTGAACATTTTTTGGACGAGCAATAAGAGCAAGAGCAAGAGCCAGAGCACAGGGTGGTACCGGTACAGGTACAGCTCGAGAAAGCCTTCGAACACAAAGCGATACTACATTTCTAAAGTACCTTGTAGCCACAACGCCACGACACTGCAGCCCCTATAATAACCGCATCATGGATACTAGTACGAGTATGCATACTAAGACTAATGATGAAGGTACTGCCGAGTCTCCTATTCTGTTGGTTGACGATCAAGTTTGGATTGTCCAGATTCTGTCATGTGTGGGTGTTGGACAGTATGCTTTCCTAGGAGCTGTCAACAAGAAGATGAATCAACTGTACAAAGAGTACTCCAAGACTGAACTAGATAAAAATCCAAGAATGGTAAAAGATGACCCTGGACAGTATTCTCCCAGTCGCTCTGCAGAAATCACCGATACTCTTTACAGCGAAACATTCTGTAGCCAGCCCCGGGCAGAATTCTGGCTTGAGGACAATTCCATCCAGATGACACCTAACCGTGGTCGTGTTTGCACTGCCATTGCAAAAATTAAAAATATTACTGTCATGCAGTGGGCACGCCAACAAGGATTCCCATGGAATAACGACACATGTGCCAGTGCTGCTGAAAATGGGCATTTGGAAATGCTCCAATGGTTACGAAAGAATGGTTGTCCATGGAATGAATATACATGCAAGGCTGCTGCTTCAAATGGCCATTTGGAATCTTTAAAGTGGGCTCGTGCAAATGGTTGTCCATGGGATGAAAATGCATGTGCGGCTGCTGCTCTGGATGGCCATTTGGAAATTTTAAAGTGGGCTCGTGAAAATGGTTGTCCATGGGATGTGTGGACATGTGCTCTTGCTGCTTCAAGTGGACGTTTGGAAATTCTAAAGTGGGCTCGTGAAAATGGGTGTCCATGGGATGCAGAGACGTGCGCCCATGCTGTTGAAGGTGGGCATTTGGAACTTGTAAAGTGGGCTTGTGAAAATGGCTGTCCATTGGATGAGTTTACATGTTCCTGTGCTGCTCGAAGTGGTCATTTGGAAATGCTCCATTGGTTGAAGGAGAATGGTTGTCCATGGAATGAACGGACATGTGCTGCAGCACTGCTCGAAACGGACATTTGGAAATTTAAAGTGGGCTCGTGAAATGGTTGTCCATGGAATGCATCAACATGTGCTTGTGCTGCTCGAAATGGCCATTTGGAAGTCTTGAAGTGGGCTCGTGAAAAAATGGTTGTCCATGGAACTGCTATCAAACATGGTGCTTGTGCTGCTCGAAATGGCCATTTGGAAGTCTTGAAGTGGGCTCGTGAAAATGATTGTCCATGGAATAAGAGCACATGTCAACTTGCTGCTCAAAAAGGACATTTGGAATTTCTCAAGTGGGCGCATGAAAATGGTTGTCCATGGGATGAAGAGACATATCAAGCTGCCTGCATGAATGATGAAAGGGAAGTGATCCAGTGGCTAGTCGACAATGGCTGCCCTGGGTCTCGTGGCGAAGGACTCTAATTAGGAGGGATCAGTAAAAGAATAGAATCATGTATCATGTTTTCACTCCAATGCCAGCAGCTGCAAACCCAGTAGTTTTTCAAGTCGGAACAGTTCCAGAAGATGGACTCCCTTCATCGCCCCTAGCAATCCCTCTCCACAACCGAAAGAACGTGGTACTACTGCTTTTATTCATGTGGGGAGAGGGGGGGATAGAGTATGGGCCCAGGCTTAGGCAAAGAAGAGGCGGAATTCGGGACTAGCTATGTTCCATTCGATCAGGGTCCGCAGACAGTTGCTGAGGACCAATTGCACGGGGCAAAGGGCTTGGATCATATTGACGTACGTGAACGATTGGACTCCGTCTCCTAATCTGGCCAGACCAACACTATAGGAGTCCCCCCGGATCCCACATGACCCAGTCCCCAGTTGTTTTGCTGACCGGAATGAGGATTTATTGATTGCCCATCCATGCTTACGGACCTTTCTAGGCGTTCATAGTCGGCGCTTGTCATGTCATCCCTAAGAAACCACTCTCTTTTGCGCATTTCCAAGTTTCCAAAGTTTCCATTACAAGAAGCACGATGATACGCTACTTCACTCAATGGGCATCCTCGTTCTCTCGTCATTTCAAGCCCCTACCATGCCATTGGACACGTCAATGGAAGCTGGGGCACTTTGTTGATTGCCGCTACCAACCGTCAACGTTTGCTGTGACGGAACTTTCAACGTCGACGACGTGTCATCAGCTCCTCGGAGTAGATTGCCGTATTGTAGCCTCATTTTCTGAACTTTGCCTTGCGCTCCCCATGATGTGAATAGACGGATGGACTGTTGGATGTAGCCTACGGCTTCAAGTTTGGCTCCCAGGGACTCTAGCGCATACAAGCCCCAGCATTCGTAAAAGAGTGCCCCGTCTTGAACACAACCACATTCAAGGGCCAAGTCGACTGCTCGCTGGTACTTCTCCATCACTTTCTTCCGCTTTCTCTTTTTGATGGCGCTCAGCTCAGCGCTCATAATGGCTTCATAGTGACGAACGTTAGGGCAGCCCTGTTTCACCCATCTCTTGATCATAGCCAACATACGCTTGCCCTCCAAAAGCAGCGATCTCGCTCCACTTCTTCGCGCCACAACCAAGCACGACAGTCCCCTCAGGAAACGGTCAACCATTTGGTACGGCGTACCAATATACACCTTGTCCAGGCTGTTCGAGTGCACAAGCGATATTCCTGCCACAACCTGAAAATCTCCTGTACGACGAAGAACGCTCAGCAACCACAAGGCTTCACACGTTATGGAATCTGAGCGACTCACTTACCCATGTACGTGCCAAGCATTTTCTTGGCAAAGAAGATGTAGAAATGGTCCGTTTCCTGTGTCGGATTGTCAGCATTCGGGGCTCCGAGTGGGTGCGAATGGATGCGTTCCATGATCTCATCAGTATCTTCTCCCAGTAGGGTCACATAAACCCTCAATGCCCACTGTATGAACTGTATGGCATAGTCATTTTTTGTCTGCTGCATTTGAACAATGTCAGCTCGGCAGTCGTTTGCAAGTTCTGGTAGATTGTCCCCGCTCAAAAAGCGGTAGAAGGTAGCGTTGAAGGCAAAGAGGTCAGCCAGTTCACGATCGCCTATCTTGAGGCCAATCTCACTTGCCATTCGCAGATGCATCGCAGATTCCCTGGACGGCAGTGTCCGGTGCAGAGCAAACTGGTAAGAGAGGCCCAAAGTGTTAGGTACAATCGGCCTGTACTTCACTTTCTGCATAAGCTTCAAGCCATAGTGGGCAAGAGCGGACGCCCCAATCATATCATCGAGTGGCCCTGTGAGGATTGCTGCCGCGTACGCAAACACCGGCGGAGCGTAGACAGAGACACCATATTTGAATGTGTATTCAAGGAAGCGAACGACGGCAATGGCCAAGCGGGCATCGTGGCATAGGTACAACATCACCAAGAGAGAGTAAATGACTCTGCAGGATTCTTCAACGTTTTCCGGCGGGTCTGACTCAACCATCATTTTCAAGTTGACCTCTCCTTTTGTCCTTGCAAGTTTAGACTTCATTCTCTTGAGTGAGAGTAAGCAAGCTATTGTTTTGGCGTTGATGGCAAGATTTCCCTTCGGAAATCGACAACCAAGTTGCTCGAGAGTCTTGAATCCAATCTCGACGCCTTCCTTGCCCCGGTCCGCTGACCCCAGAAAGAAGATTCCTGTGTATAGGTTTTGGATTGCTCCCAGCCTCACGCTGATTGGTTTATCTGATTGTGCATCGATCAACTCGTTGCAGTGCTTTTCCATGGGCACAATATCGCCGCAAATACGTTCCGCCTGGATGAGGCACATGTACAGCTCATGGCATAGTTGATTGTTTCGTATCCATTTGTCGTCGCCACCAGGAAGGAATGATAGCCCCTTTTCGGCAAAGAGCTTTGCATTGGTGAACGCAGCAACGTTTGTAGCACGCTGACTTGCCCGAAGACAGAGTTCCGCATACTGATTACGCTTGGCTTGTGCCTCTGGCGGCAATCCTTGGCTGACTAAATGCGCCACCACATAGATCATTGAGTCCAAGTCCTCTTTCAAGTAGTGAGCTAATGCTTCACCGACTCGTCGGTGAAAGCCATCCCGCTCGGTTTCCGGAGTTAGCATGATGGCCGCAGCGCGAATTTGGTCATGGTTCCATTTGTAGCTGCCATCGTTGAGTTCTTGGAAGAAGCCTTCGTGGTACAAACGCTTCAGGCTGGCTCGAAACACTGATTGTGATAGCGTTGGAGGTTGTTGCAGTTTATTGTGAAACATGTTGGACCACAACAGTTGAAGGACGGACTCCTTGCAGGTGGAACCCAAACAAGCGGCCAATCGCAAGAGCTCCCGACAGGAGGGGCTATCGAGTGTTTTCATTCGTTCCATCAAGAGTTCGACCACATTGTTGGTCGACTGAGTTCTGATTTCAATTTCTTTCTCATCCCATGTCCACTTTTGTAGATTGGTGTCGTACGTGAGGAAGCCGTAGCTATTGAGCATGGTGAGGAAGCTATTCAGAAAGAAGATGTTTCCTTGTGTTCGTTGGTGGCAGATTGCCGTCAGACCTTGTAACCCCGTGGTCTCGGAAGTATTCGTTTCGGACGATGGTTGGCTCTCTATCAACAAATCTTGCAAGTACAGATGGACTGATTCGTTGGAGAGATTGCCCAGCAGAATGTGTGTCCGATCAATGTTGCCAGATGCATGTTCGTGTTTGTAGTGTTCAATGGACTTTGTGAGGCAGGCATTGTTGGCCACTTCATTGGATCGATAGAGCAAGATGCAAAAGATTGTGTATGGTTGTTGCGGTTCGAGCATTTCTTGCAGCAAACGAAGACTTTCGGCATCGGCCCACTGCCTCCCAGTGAAAAACCGTTAGAAGGATCGCACGGTAGCATTGAATCATGGCCCTCCTCCTATGCCATTTCCTGCACCTACCTGGACGTCATCGGCGCATAGGACCACGGGCGAGAAGCTCTGACAAATGACTTTCATAAAGCGTCGAAAGGTTTCCTGCAATTGAGTCTTTTTGTTATCAAGTTGAATAAAGTCATCCTTCTTTCTACTACATGTAGGATCATTAGTATGACTTTGCGAAAGTGGATTGATGTCCAGGACCTGTCCCATGAGTGGGACCATTGTGATCAAGAGCTCGAGTTCTTCCGTGTCAATGGCCATTGCTAGCGTGTCCACAATATGGGCCCTCAACTGCTTTTGCTGGCTTGAAGCGTGTGCCTGACCAAGTTTTAGAATGTGTTCGGCAATGTCCTCACAAGCGGCAATTATCCCTGCATAGGGTTCATCCCTGAGCAGAAAGTCAAATTTTCCTTGTGCAAAGAGTGGATTGTTTTCATGGGCTTGAAAGAGTTTTGTGGATTTGAGGCTTTCTGCTAGCCTGGTTTTGCCAGTCCCCGACTCCCCACTGATTTCCACAAGGTGTGATTTGGTGTTTTCGCGGTTCTGCATGCTGGATGAATAATAGCGGGTGAGGGACTCTGTCAATAGACGGAACTGTTCGTCCCGGCCCACCATTTTGGCTTCCCAAAAGGAGAGTCTTTTCTTGGATCTGGAGGGGCTGGAAGTCGACGAGTGAGAGTTTTGCTGCCCACTGGAGGAAGGGCGGTGTATTTGACTGCGATAAAGACTGAGTTCGGTCATTTGTTCCGTGATGGCTCCTAGCCTTGACGGTTGTTCAGAACTACTTTCATCGTCTCCAATTGACATTTGAGGCGGCTCCACACTGCTATTGTCATCTGTCAAGGACATTCTTGCTGGGGTTCTCCTGCTCAAGTTAGTAGTAAAATGGTGGTTCGAGTTGGATGGCGGCGTCTGCTGGGAGATGGTTATTGGCGTAGATGTGGACTGAGAGAGTGGCCTTGGAGCAACCCTATAGATGATATCAGTGGTATCTTCTTTTGGCTCAAAAGTTGACAAAACATCCAGCGGAGACGCCGAGGCAGGCCCAGCTGCCAAGGCCGCGGAAGGATAGGCGTGACTACCGGTAGTGGCATGCAACAAGTCAGAGGGCCCCAGCGGAACGCCTGTGATGGAGGAGATGAGACTTCTGTCTTCTTCATGGTGGACTTCTACTACAGGAAACGATGCCGTGGCCTGATGTTGACTACCGGTAGTATTTCCATTACATTTGCTCTCCAACTTCGTTGCCATGATTCGATTCTTGACTTTATAAGCAAGCGGCAAGGAGGAGACGACCGGAAGCTAGCTTCTAGCTAGCTAGCCGCTTGGAAGGCGAGCGACGCAATTCCAAAGACCAGAATTGTGGCAGCGCTTCCTTCATGATCAGGGAAGCCGAACGGACGATGGTGCGTGGATGGAAGATTAGCTAAAGATCAGGAAATCTCATTTACACTTTCCATTCTTGGTCAATGCCAGGCGACTGAAGAGCTCGAAGCAAGTCCAAGAAGCTAAGGTAATCTCTAACCTTAGTACCGGTACCAGGTAAAGTATTCTAATCACGACTTGGAGTCTTGGAGGGAAAGCGAACGAAGATCCAAGGAACCCACAAGATCCCTCGTGAACCGAAAAGGCCATCAACGTCCACACCAATCTTTTTTCTCCACCCTTTGGAGATCTGGTGCCAGGAATCTGGAAAATGGGGATTCTTAAGAATCATTTTGTTCTTTTTGCTGATTCTTAAGAATCATCAGGCACCCAGTATGCAACCTAATATACTAGCAATATGGGCTTCATAGCTAGCAATGCTATCCCCTGATACTATCTGCTAACCAACAACAATGTTTGCTGATAAGACAAGCCTTGTAATGATGCATTAGTGCATACCAAAACCATTGCAATGGAGTCTTTCTTGATTTTTACAAGTATTCCCAAGATTCAGCATATTTGCATTGAGGATTCTTAAGAATCATCATAATTTGGAGTTGATTCTTAAGAATCAGCAAATTCCATTTAATGATTCTTAAGAATCAGCATTTTTCATTGCTGATTCTTAAGAATCATCTAGCTTTTTCTTAAGAATCTGATTTTGAAAAAACTGATTCTTAAGAATCATTTGCTGATTCTTAAGAATCATCAATTTCCAAGAATCTGGAAAATTCTGATTCTTAAGAATAGTCTGATTCTTAAGAATCCTTGTCTACCCAGTATTTGATTCTTAAGAATCATAATTTTCCCAAGATTTTTTCCTGATTCTTAAGAATAATCTGATTCTTAAGACTCCTCATAACATCTGGCATAAAAAGCAACACAGACAAAGCGAAAACACAATAACCAACAACAAACTCTTAGTCAGACAAAGCAACTAACTACATGTCATCTCCCACCAGAAGCAACAGCAACAAGACAGTGGTGATTGCCGGATCAACGGGATACCTCGGCCGGTTTTTGGTATCCGAATACCATGAGCGAGGCTGGAAGGTCAAGGCATTGGTCCGAAACAAATCCAAGGCCAGCGGTACATTTCCAGAAGGTGTAGAACTCATTGAAGCACACGTGACAAAACCCGAAACTCTGAAAGGGATCATTGATGATCGAGTCGATTTGGTCCTTTCGTCCGTGGGAATCACTCGACAAAGAGATGGCTTGACCTATCGAGATGTGGACTATCAAGCCAACAAAAACCTGTTGGAGGAGACTATTCAAGCCAAAGTTCCTCAATTTGCCTACATTCACGTCCTTCAAGGCGAATCCATGGCTCATCTTACCGCAATTCAAGCAAAGGTTGATTTTGTCAAGGACCTTGAAAAAGCCGTCCAAGCTGGACAGTTACAACATTCCACAGTCATTGCTCCTTGTGGATTCTTTTCCGATATGAAGGACTTTTTGGACATGGCCAAAAGTGGACGCGCCTATCTATTTGGAGATGGCCGTCATACTATCAATCCAATCCACGGGGCCGACCTGGCCAAGGCCACTGTTGATGCAATCGATGCTAAGCGCCAGAGACTCGACGTCGGTGGACCCGATGTCTTTACTCAAACCGAATTGGCAGAGTTGGCCTTTACAGCACTGCAGAAACCAGCCAAGATTTCCTATCTGTGGGATTCTATTCGGACTGGATTGATTAAACTGCTGCCATGGTGCTCTCCCTTGACGGTATGGGGTCCGGCACAATTCTTCTTGACGGCCATGGGACAAGACATGGTGGGTGAATGTCATGGACAGCATCATTTGAGGGACCACTTTGCGCAGGTGGTGAAAGAGGAACAGGAGCAACAGAAGAAGACGTCTAGCTAGCTGCTGCACCAAGACAAGAACTATGCAACTGAAGCAATCATATATTATTTGTCTTCGCAGCAATGCACCAAGTTAACTTCTGCTTTCGTACATCAGTACGGATAGGATGAAGCCAAGTGTTATTGTCTCCAATTAAGACAATGCAGAGACTAGTGCTTTCCGTGCAAACAACAACAACTAAACTATGGATATTAAGTGACATGTTTTGGTGGTTCAATACCACCACAGCAAAAGCACAATGAAAGCAAGAGTTGTACTGCGTGTACGCAGCGCCATTGTCCGGGAATTGGTAGAAGAACTCGAATCTGATTCTGTTTCCTCAGAAGCCATCACACTTGGGACAAACTCTTCCATGACCCCCGATTTCAAGATGTCGAAGGGAAGAATGCCCTGCGCTAGAATGCAGTCATGGAAGGGCTGTTGGTCAAATGAATCACCCAGCTCGAGCTCGACTGCGGCACGCAACTCCTGCAATTCCAGGAAACCGTAAGTGTAGGCTGTGGCCTGGCCAGGAATCTGAAATGTGTAGCGGTTGACTTCAGCCTGGGCCTGGCCCTCGGTAAGTCCAACCTCTTCGACGAATACCCTGGAGACTTCTTCTTGTGTAGTCAAGCCCAGGTTAAGCTGTGGGTCCAGGAACATCCTAGCCGCACGCCATAAACGGGATTGAAGACTACAAAGCTGGGCCTCAATGGGCATGTACGGGTACATAATCGTCCATTCCGAATACACGCCCCAACCTTCAGTAGTAGCAGAGTTGACGGCAAAAATGGCGCGGGCATTAGACACCCCGGATTCAATCATGGCCGAGAATTGCATTTCATGACCAGGGCGAGCTTCGTGTGCAGTCAAAGTCCAAGCAAAGGCTTCGTAGACAAATCCGTTCTTCTGCCAAGTACCGTCTTCATTCTGCTCTATCAAGGGCAACACAAAGTATGGGAATTCACCAGTGTTGTTGATCAATGGGGGTAACTCCGCGTAAGGAACAGGGAATGCCGCAGTCTCAGCGGCCGAGGCGACTCGAATGCCAGCCTCCCGTTCGGGCAGTGTCACCAGATTCTCGCGTACAATGATTTCTTCGAGTTGTGCAAGCACACCTCCATAATACTCGAGAACCTTGTCTCCATCGATGGCGCCATCTACCATGAGTCTATTAATGATCTCCACGTGGTCACTTGTATTGTAACCCATCTTTTCTCCCACAGCGGGTGCAAGGTTTTTCAATTCCTTCAAAAGAACAGACAGCCGTAGGCTAGTGCCCTCAACTAGCATTTATCTAAAGGCAAAGGTTTCATTTTTTTGGATGTTTCTTAAAGCCAAGGCTAATCAGTCGCTTTGATAGCTTTAATCTTACTAGGGAAACCGCACCATATGTACGTGTTCGCTTTGATAGCCTTAATCTTACTAGGGAAACCGCACCATATGTACGTGTTCGCTTTGATAGCCTTAATCTTACTAGGGAAACCGCACCATATGTACGTGTTCGCTTTGATAGCCTTAATCTTACTAGGGAAACCAC